ATTGAAAAGTCTATACAAATGTCAATCTTGTATTTAATTAGCATTACGGTTAGTTTTAACGGTTATAATAACATAGTAAAATAGATAAGGCAATACATGCACCTCAAAATAGATTGTAAAAATATAAGTATAAGTATGCCTTGGAATTATACTAAGTGTGATAAAAATTGAAGTAGAAAATTGGTATAGGGTGCCATAAAAAAATTCCTAAAGTGCCCCTTAACGAAGATCTTCCCTGTTGTGGCGTCGAATACACAAGTCTCTTCCTCATAAAAAGAAATCCAATGGAGTCATGTCGGGGGACCCACATCGACCTATCCATTGATAACCAAAACAAGTGCTGACGAACTAAATTGCTAAAATGGGGCATGCACCGTCATGCATAAACCACATCTGATTTCTAATTGCTAAATACACATTTTCTAATAAACCATTTAAGTTTTTTTTATAAGAATTGTAAATACATGGCATCATTTAATCTGTCTTCAAAAAAGAATGTTCCAATGAGATGATTCCCAATAATCCCCGCCCATAGGTTACCCATGAACCTTTGTTGGTGTTTTGTCTGCACTATTGCATGGAGATTTTCTTCATGCCAGATATGCAAATAGGCATGATGACAGATTTTGAAAAACTATTCTATGATGTTCGGAAGTATTTACTATTTCCAAAAAATATCTTATTTCTGTAAAAATAAAAGGTTTACTAGAAAAATAAACTAAATGTTAAACAATTTAAATAATCAGTCTCATTATTCGGATTAATTAGCAAGGACTTCTACATTAAGAATCCACTAGTTTCTGTATTTAAAACTTAAGGAAAGTCATATTAAGAATATAGGTAACGCAAAACATATAAAATTTAAAACAAACATTTCACAACATATCTTTGTTTTATAGAAGTTTTGACATATTATTAGAAAATAAACTAAAGTTTAAACAATCAGACTCATTATTTGGCATAATTAGCATCTAATAGTTTTCAGCACTTTAGACTTAATAAAAGTCAAATGAAATAGCTTTATTATCAAATTGCCCAATTGTCACGTAGCAATATAATAATGACCGTGCAATGTGATAAATAATGAAGTTTAGATAGTAATTAATCACTTAGACCGATAGAGCTAGACATTATTCATAATGCTCGCACATTATTAATAATGCCTTTAATTAATCACCTGGTCTATAACAGATACACATTATCTTTCCATGAAGAGATAAAACATTAAGAAAATCTGATACATAGTTGTCATCAAATGTAACATTAATTATTTCTACTATTTTATTTGTACTGTAGTTGCAATCAGCTACACCGAAATAGCTCTTTTGAAGCCCTGTTAAATACATTGTTATGTAGGTTCCATCTGCACATAAAACTTCTGGGTCGGTTTTCCTTTTTCCAGATAATTTTTAAGTCTTCATATTTGTGGTACATTTAATTTCAATAATAGTGTCTTCACAGATTCCACCAGGCGATCCTGCTATCGTGGGATAGTTTTTGCAAAGCATTACACCACATTTTTTAAATTTTTTCCCCAAACTGGTACTTACAATTTTCCTCATTTCATCCTCCAACATGCTATCGCGTTTCATGGCCGATGTGTCTGAGGTTTTTCCTCCCATAATTAACGTGATCAAAATTGCATCATTGGTTTTGCACCGACTAAGTTCAAACGCTCGTGAGGCCGTCACTCTGCTATATCTTAACTCATGCCAAAAACAGCTTTGATGTTGGTCTCGCCTCTTCTTCAACTTTCATGTCATCTTCATCAGTCAATACGAGTTTTTTCAAAAATGTGTCGCAGGACTGTTCTTTGTATTTCAGCACCAATTTATGCATGGATAAACTTTTGATCACAAACATAGGCTTTTTGATATTTTATTAACTCGCAGTTGTTGAGCTTAATTTACTTTCATTCTTTTAGAAACTTTTCAAGTACCTAACGTTTCCTGATTGTGGTTTTGGTAACACAAAACTAACCAACAGATAGTTGAGAAACAAAATATTTAAACGAAGATAAATACTGCGGGTATTGTGACGTAATGTGACGTAATTCGCTTTGATTGGTGTTCTACCTGTCATGGCGGTTTGCTGCATTTTGTAGTTTTATTTTATCAAAAAATTATCAATCTTACTCATAATATAAATAAATATTTTCTATAATCCATGAATCGTATTTCATTAGAAAAATATATAATTTTAGTGATTTTTGGTCACTGTCATCATGCCTATGTCAATTTATTACTCCGTCTCGGGTGAAACTGGCTTCGTCCGTGAACAAAACAATACTAGTAAAATTTGGATATTGCCTAAATCGTTGCAAAAACTAATTTGCGTAATTGACTCTTGCAGGATAATCAGGGGGAGATGGCATGCACCGTTTGGATGTGATTAGGATTAGCAGTTATTCTGGGGGAGGGGAGTCACTTTGTTGCATGAACTTGAACCGACAATTTTGTATACAATATGAATCAATATATCCAGAGTTTCTCAAGGTTCCAGCAAATCTGATAATGCGTTTACTCTTGCTACACATAGATAGACATTATCTTGATGCAAAACTAACTTTGAAAACGTCTTAAGATAGGGTAAAACAAGAGGTTCTAAAATTTCTTGGATGTATTGTTGGATTGTCATCTACCTCTAACGAAACCTAAAGATATACCTACTACCAGAAGCAATAACTCATTTTACCAGATCACGTCCGTTAATCACTTCGGTTTCTCACCGTCAACAGACAATCATACATGTCTAAACAAAAGCAGGACTTCTGATTCGACAAGAAGTAGACAGTAGGTCTTCACCCAACGTTATATCTATGAAATATTCTGAACCTCCGCCTTTGAATACACCCAAATCCAATTTTTTTCAGCATGTTCTAGCAACTATGGCCTTTAAGATTTCCAATTTTTTTCTTACGGAACACGTGTTATACCGATCGAAATAACTCTTTTAGAGGGGAAAAAAAAAGAAAATTGTTACCTGGACTTTTATAAGTGGAAATGGTAAAGGGGCTTATAATAAACGAAAAAAAAATAAATGCGTGAGCAGGGGCGGCGGAGGGTTGATTTGGGGGGTTGAAAAGGTATCAAAAATTGTATCATTCGGAATTCTGGCGAAAGTTGACGTCAAACAAAAAAGTATTCAATACTAAAGTTGTAGATCATGAAAAAATCTACAACTTTTGTGGAGGTCACTTTTAAACATAACCTCAAAATTTCTGAGAAAAATGCAAAAACCAGTTTTTTTTATGATTTCTCGTTTTTTATTTCTCATTTCCGCAAAAATAATTTAATTTTGACGAAACTTGCCGAAAGTATACCTTTCTGTGTCTTAAATAACCACAATTTTTTTTAGAAAAAAAATTAAGGAATTTCGTTTTTTCCGGTCTGAAACACTATTTCTTCAAAGAAAAATTCTACTTAGAAAAATCATGGTACAGAGATCTGCCAGTGATCACTTTTTTCGTTTTGACATATACTTTTTGGTGAAATAAAAAAATCTGTAATCAGAGTTCAAAAACATACTCAAAAATGCAAAAAAACTAAAAAATGACTGATTACACCATTCAATTGTACGAAAAAAATAAAAAAAAACTGTACTTAATTTTTTAAATTTCGATGAATTCATAGATATACAGTGTGTCCAAGATAAGGATGGGATAGCAATAGGATCTAGGAAACGGTAATAGATACGGGGTGGCTCAGATTAGAAAAAAGTTGTATTTTTTTAAACCTAACAATATGGTAAAATTCGTGCGAACGATTTTGCAAAATTTCGGGTTTTCGGAATTCGCGTCAAAAGTAAACTTTGCAGCTAATAGGTACTTTGTATTGCTGAAACCTCAAATCATCCAGAGATAATTTATCATTTGTGCATTTGTAATTCGACTTATATGTTTATAGCAATACTGCACAAAAATAAATTTTTTGGTCAAACAATGAGATACAGTTTTTTTTTATTTGTTTTCCATAGAATTGAATAGTGTAATCAGTTTTTGAATGTTATTTAATTTAAACAAATTATCACGAATAACTGAAAACTTCATTATTGCAAGTTATTTTTTATTTTTTTTTGCATTTTTGGGCATACTTTTGAACTGTCTGCAGATTTTTTTATTTCACCAAAAGTATATGTCAAACCGAAAAAAATGATTACCGGCAGAACCCTGTACGATAATTTTTTTAAGTAGAATTTTTCTTTGAAAAAAAGTGTTTCAGGCCAAAAAAAATGAATATCTCAGAAACTTCTTGATTTTTTTTATCTAAAAAAATTTGAGGTTATTTAAGACACGGAAAGGTATACTTTCACCAAGTTTCGTCAAAATTAAATTATTTTTGCCGGAATGAGAAATAAAAAACGAAAAATCAGAAAAAAACTGTTATTCGCATTTTTCTCGCAAATTTTGAGGTTATGTTAAAAAGTGTAGATTTTTACATGATCTACAACTTTTGTATTGGATACTTTTTTGTTTGACGGCAACTTTCGCCAGAAATCCTTATGATACAATTTTTCATAACTGTTCAACCCCCCAAATCAACCCTCCACCACCCTTCCCCACGCATTTATTTTTTTTATGTTTATTATAAGCCCTTTTACCATTTCCACTTATAAAAGTGCAGGTAACAATTTTTTTTTTTCTCCAAGAGTAATTTGGTTGATCTATATAGGATATACCTATGGATAGAAGACTGTTAGATTTATCGATTTATCACAACCCCCTCTGATTTTTGCAGCACTGCAGTTAATTTAGAGTATAGTACATGGTCCAACCAATAATAATTGTTGATACCTATTATTGTTTACATTCCAAAAAATTCTTTTGTATCGTTTTTTAGAGCGTGTGGTCTCATTGACTGATTGATTGATTAATGATAATTTAATAACAAATTCAAGAAATTATAAAAGATTGCTACTTGAAATTATTCCAACGATTAAACTCATATACCTGCCCCTATGTTTTACTGATCATTTTTTCAGAGCTACTCTCTTGGTTTCAGGTCCAAAGATGGAGGAGCGCCAATCGTTCCGGACAAAAGACGAAGACTGAAGATAACTGGCAACGCGATCCAGTTAGCTCTAGACAATGTCCAGAAGGAAGACGCCGGACTGTACACCGTCACCGCGAAGTCTCCCACTGGCACCGTGTCCAGGGACGTGGAGCTGCGGGTGGGAGGCCGACTTACGGCCTCCGGCGACGAAGACGAACCTCCGGCATTCCTCAGACGACTAAACGATTTATCCGTCAAAGTTGGCACGAGAACTAGGTTTCTTGTCGAGATTAAAAGCGGTTCCGAGTTGACGGTGAGTGAGAGATGTTAGATCTAAAAGTCTTACAAACAATAAAGAAAAAAATAGGAGAATTGAAAAAAAATTATACCTTGACTGGAAACACTTGAAAAAATATTTTTCCAAAAAATGTATTTTGCTGAAATCAGTATGAAAATAACATATTTATAGTAGGATCGTATACGATGCAAAGTAGAGCAAAAAATTGTCGGCCTTTTATCAAAGGAAAATCGTGTCATCATCATCATTTTTAGGAGGCGTAAGATAAATCTTTTCAAATTTAAAATGAAATTCAATGTAAAATCTGAAATACCGCTGCATACGCACTGTGTTCTGGTAGTAGCTGTAGTCGCCCAGGTGCATCGAGTGTACGAACTGGTCGGTTATACGTCAAATACTAACCTGGCGAGCTTTGCTGTCAATTAGAGAGCGCTTCCAAAAAACAAGTAAACAACAGTGGCGCGTACAGAGGTAAAATGTAGTACTTATGTGGAATTTAGGAAACAAATTGGATTTATAATAAATTACATTTAAAATAAATAGTTTATGAGAATAAAGGAATTTTTGTAGCAACAAGGGTGCCAGACCTGAACTGATCCCCTCGTCCCTTCATAATGTATAAAGAAATTATTCAATTTGTAAAACCCTTAAAGGCGTACTTCATTGGTTCCCTTGACAGGCAATGATTTATTACTTTGCATCGAATATGATCGTACTATAGTATAATCGGGACTCCCTTAAATCTTAAATAAGTATAGCTCAAATACAATTTAAGAAAATGTAAAGATAATATTTATTTGAAATAATAAAAACAAAATCTTAATTTCTCATGAAAAACAACGAATAAAAACAAAGTCTCTGCCCTGTGTGACTACAAGAAAAGCATTTAAAATATTTTGTAAGCGCATTTTAGTATGCCAGCCAACTAAAAAAAATAGAATTATTTTGAAAATTTATTTTAAGAAAGATTTTCAGATCCTATGTCTGATGCTCCTGATTTCTTCTGACCAAGAGCAATATGCTCTTGGTCATTTTGAACATATTCAAAATATTTATCAACTACTAAAAGCGGAAATGGTCTGACGATTGTCTTAGTGAAATAATTCCTCTAAATTATTTTTTTATCTGATAGAATTTATAGATAGATATAGATAGAAGAATTTATAATGACTAGAACCCTTTACATATATTCTAGAATCTAGATTTTAGCAAATGTTAAAAGTTTTTCAAATTTTTCCATTTTTTCCAATTTTTCTAGAGAACATACTTAGACTTAGGACTTAGACACCCAGCTTTCCCAGAAACCTAAATATTGGTCAGTTCAAGGGAAAATATGTTTTTTTTTTAATTTAATCGTTGAAAGGTATATTAATTATTATAAAAACCACAACAGCTTAACTTTCTTACTTTTAATTTTAGAAACCAACATTAAATAACATCAATATTTGTACTTTTTACTAAATTAAAAAAAACAATTTGTTTATTAGTTCTCAAATTTTTTATTCTACTTTAAAAGTATTAAGAGAATTCAAACAAATTCAAAACATCAAATGAAGTCAAACAGTGTTCTTCAATACTTTTTAATAAAACATCTTGTACCTATATTTTTACAGTTTTCTTATAGAACTCTTTCTCAACATTATATTCATATAAAGTTTGATACAGAATGATAGATATACAGGGTGTTAATGAACTTATGCCAAATATTTTTGCCACATGTCCGTTATGCCAAAATACGGATTTGTGTTGAGTCAAATGTAATTTTAAAATCTGACTTACCTGAACATTGCAAAGAGCCACCTTTTAAGAACTGCTGATTTTCATAGAAGATGTTCGATATACCCACCATTTGCTTGCACACAAGCTTCAGCGCGACGTATCCAATTCGCAACATTGCCACGTCCTCTCGAATTGTATTGCAAGCTTCGGCAATACGATGACACGAACTTCCGTGGAATATTTATCCTCACAAAAAGAAGTCTATTTAACTAGGCTGCCGGGGCCTATCGAGCGATCGGGAAAAGTAATGTTTAGAAAGTTGCGCACTTTTCGAAAAAAGTGAGTGGAGTCTCCGTCATGCAGTAACCGCATATTTTGCCGAACATTTAATGGCACGTCTTCCAATAACTCCGGCAAGCTAGATATAAGCACCGTTTAAGCGTCTAGGCAGTTCAAAAGGCCACATTAGTGTCATTAATTATACCGGCCCGCATGTACACTGAAAACTGTTGCTGAAAGGCGCCGCGACGTATTTCGTGTGGATTTTCGATAGGCAAGTGCTGAGTGTTGTGGACGTTCCGTACACCATTTCGACTGAAACATGCTTCATCTGTAACAAGTATTTGCGCTGTAAATTGAGGATTTCTTGCATGTTCCGTAAGCAATCATCTGCAAAATCCTCGACGTAATAGAAAATCTCAAGAGTAAGCGTTAAACACGTTAAATATGGGTACAACTAAGTTTCTCGTAATGTCCGCCACACAACAGGAAGCGAAATATTTATTTGCTGTGTTATATTTCTTCGAGGAGATCTAAAATCATCTCATCGACATTTAAGAACCTTAGTGGTTGTACTTCACCGGTGTCCAAAACTCTGCCCTACAGCAACAAATGTTCGCGGTGCGGGGGCTCGTCGTTCAGGATATCTTGGCACGGTACCCTTGACAAGCTCTGTGGGTATTTTCGTTTGCTTCGCCATAAATTATGAGCATATCGTAATATTCCCGATTGCTAAATAAATGCGCCATTTTCAAAAGAAAACTTAGAAATACGGCTATTAAATGTACTCTCGAAAAACAGCACAGCAATCACTACAACAATGTATTACAAACTGACTTTCGAATACAGCCCGGCTTCATACAAAACCTACAAACTCGTAGAAAGTGTTACCGAATTTTTTGTAAGTACTCGCCGCGATAAAATACATGTATTTCAGCAGTTCTAGAACGGTTTTAAACACATTTTTAATTAGCTTTTTTTTCTATGACCTTAAACTTCCTATACAAGTTTGTGACGTCAGTTAACTCAGTTTTGCTCCTTTCTCACTCCTTTAAATTTTTGACATAAGTTCATTAACATTCTGTATATTAAGAGATATATGACAAAAAAAGATTGGTAAAAACCCATTGTATAGAAAATATTTTATTATTAGTTCGTCTTATATATTATTATAAAAAAAATAAAAGCTTCGTTCGTAATTCCGGAATTGTCTAATTCTAATTTTCGAAATCGCAGAAAGATTTCATAAACCTTTATGGACGTTGGGAAAAAGCAGGGGTAAAATGTATTCCTGTTCATAAATTGTAAGAGAAATAAAATTTTTGATTTCTATGAAACAGTACATGTTAGCGATTTTTTAGATTCACTCAACTGAAATTCGGCAAATCGCGAAGTACAGGTCATTGTGTTCTGAATGATAAACAAGTAGTCTATCTGTTAATTTGTATATATAGAACGATAAAACTATCCACGGGAAAGCTACTTCTAAAACGTTGGATTAGATATTAAAAGAATTTAATAGTTGTCCATGTCCACTTTGCGTAGGTTAAACAGGATATGTTAAGAAAGTTCAGGACTTTACTAATGTCTTTAATGTCTTAATAATCCGTTAGATTATTCTGCGGTAATTTAAAGAAATTATGCTGTTATCTAAATGTCGTGTGACCCAAAATTCACGCCAGATTTGATTTTTGCGCGATTTCTGCGGTAAAGAGTTGCCAATGAAAAAAAAAAGACAGTGTAACAGCTGACAGTTCAGGATCCATCTATTTCAGACACGTTTGGATACATTTGTAATAAACATTCAAACGATTTTTCGAGAAATTTGTTGGCATATTCGGAAAATTTTGAGAAATCTGTTAAAGAAAAAAATTTAAATCATTTCTAATTCATCGCAACGTTTGCCCTGTTTTATGGAGAGAAACAGTGACTAGCTTCAAACCATGTGTATTTTACAGTAAGAAAAATAAAGCAACAATATTTATAGGGGGAGCTTCCCATCCATACATTCAAAGTGGCTTAATTGCATACAGGGTGCTAGAAATTTAATGCCTAGTTTAGTTAACTTCAAACCTTCATAAGTCGGTTTTTTAATGTAACACCCTGCATGTTTTTCTATATTCTGATATACAATTTTATTCTCTTTTGAACGATCTCTTCTAGTTTTTAAGTTATCTACTATTTTGTGTGTAATCACCTAGGATAATGTAATTTCTTGAGAGGATAGCTGTGGAATTTTTAGCAAAATTTCAAAACAAACAACTAAACTGTCAATTTGTTGCTAGTCTCTTGCAGTTACAGTTTAATTTAGTGTTTATAAGAAATGGAAAACAATTCATATTCAAATGCTGATATTTTAAATTTATTATTCAGTCACGAACGTTGCAATGGGATTATAAGCAGAACATGTTCAGTTTTTAATGAGACATATCCAAATTTGCCACCAATGAGCAGAAAAAAGTTAAGAAGAATTTTAGCAAATCAAGTCGTAGTAGGAGTATGGTCGAATTTGTGCAGAAAGAATTTTACCAAAACCGATAACATCAAATGAAGATAATGTAATAAATGTGCTCACCTATTTCAATGATTATCCAGAATCTTCAACTCGTGCCGCAGAGTATGATTTAGGCATTTTACGAGCGTCCATTCACATGATGCTAAGAACTAATGATATGCATCCAGACAAATTTAAGCTATTTTCTGCTCTTCATCCGGGTGACGCCGTGCAACGTGTACAATTTTGTGAAACGATGTTAGTGCGATACCAAGTAGATCCATAATTTTTGCAACATATTATATGGACAGAGGAGTCAAAATTTACGAGAGTGAGTATTTATAATGGACATATTACTCATTTGTGGTCATCTGAAAATCTTCATGTTATCCGGGAAACATTCAAAATAAATTTATCATAAATGTTTTTTGTCTAATTAAAGATAACCATATTTCTTACCATATCTAAGAAGAAAATTTAAATGCCGACAAATATCTCAAAATTTTGCAAACGGTTGTGGCAG